TATAGTATAGTAGTATATAGTAGTATAGTAATATATATATATATATATATATATATATATATATATATATATATATATATATATATATATATATATATATATATATATATATATATATATATATATATATATATATATACACATTGGCTCTCGTAGAATCCCTCTTTGTGTGGTACAGTACAGTTGTTGGTTTCAGTCAGTTGATTTCCGAGCTTTTTAAACAAAAGTTCTTACAGTTCATTTAAGCAGTTATATGTTTTTCATTTACACAGGCGGAACAAGAATGCGACGAGATGAAGAAGGAGATTGAAACCATAACGGCCAAACTGACCAAGAGGGAGAAGGAAAAGCAGGAGGTGGAGGACAAACTGCGCGCCATGACTGAGGAGGTCGCCGTCAACGACGAGTTGATCGGCAAGCTCGGCCGCGAGAAGAAGAAGCTGGAGGAGCTCAATGCGGTAGGCTCATCTTTCTTTACTTCGCTTTCTTCTTTCAAGAATATCTTGACCTTTCCGGGGTTCTAAAACTTTGCGAATACATGACATCAAGTTCATTTATCTACTTCTATTGGATACATTTCAGCAAACCTTGGATGACCTCCAGTCCGAGGAAGACAAGACTCAGAACCTCACCAAGCTCAAAGTCAAGCTGGAGCAGACCTTGGATGACGTAAGATATGCATTACGTTCACATCAATAATGACACGACTAAATGAACCGAAACTAGTAACGGCTTTTTGCAAATGTAAAGGACCAAGACTTTGACATGCTCGTTTGAGCTATGATTTCGTTCTGATTATCTTCCGAAAAAATATTAATGTCTACTTCTGATGTATTCAGCTTGAGGACAACCTTGAGCACGACAAGAAGATCCGTGCTGATGTTGACCGCGTCAAGAGGAAGCTGGAGAACGACCTGAAGAACGCCCAGGACCTGGTGATTGAGCTTGAGCGTTACAAGGTCGAGCTTGAGGAGAAGCTTAAGAAGTGAGTGGATTAACGTTGCCCTAGCCCTAATTTCTAAGCCGAAGACTGTCATTTATATAACTACTTCAAACCTGCATTAGGACACACCTTACTAACGAATTTCTAGGATAGTAGCTGTCAAATCCTTCTTTATGGCTTGTGTAGGAAGGAGTTCGAGATCAACGCCCTAAACACCAAGGTGGAGGATGAGACTGGACTGGCAACTCAGCAACAGAAGAAGACCAAGGAGCTGCAGGGCAGGATCGAAGAGCTTGAGGAGGAGCTGGAGACAGAAAGAGCTGCTCGTGCTAAGGTACTTTACGTCGGTATAGCCAACGGGACGACATTCCCACGGGCATGCAAATCTAATATGCAAAAACTCATGTCCTATCGTGTAATATCAGTGTCTACTGTGGATTTCAATTTCAAAATTTGAGGACGTTTTGCAAAATTACTTGACTATAATAATCGTATGTAAATAATATTACAGATAGTAACCCGTAAATGTGTCATATATTGACAGCTCGAGAGGCAGCGTGCCGAACTCTCGCGTGAGTTGGAAGACATCGGTGAGAAGCTGGAGGAATCTAGCGGTGCCACAGCTGCCCAGGTTGAGCAGAACAAGAAGAGGGAGGCCGAGCTCCAGAAGGTACATTGTATGATAGTTTCGGAGTTCAGATATTAAAAAGATATTAAAAGATGAGGAATTATAGATTATTGAACCAGAACAATACCTAAAGAAAGGTGGATGAAAAAAAGAACGAGTTGATCCGTTTTAAATGTATTATTGTTCCTTTTGCCAGTGTACCAACTCCTATATCAACGATGCATTGTTCTACATATAAACATGATAGGTTCGCCGTGAGCTTGAGGAGGCTACCATCGGCCATGAAGCCGCTACCGCCAGCTTGAGGAAGAAGCACAACGACACCGTGGCAGACATGACTGAGTCAGTCGAGAACCTGCAGAGGGCCAAGACCAAGCTTGAGAAGGAGAAGAACTCCCTCAGGGTGGAGGTCGATGATCTGGCTTCCAACGTCGAGCAGGTCACCAAGCAGAAGGTAATTAGTTCTGACATTCTCACTGTTGCTTAAAAACACTATTGCTTAATTCTGGGCCTACCAGTTATATTTGTTAGTTCATTTACAGTTGTGACATTCACGCCTAACTACATAATTATGGTGCCAATTAAATCGATCTATCAATCAATCAATCAATCAATCAATCAATCAAAGGTGCAACATTAGTGTTACTTGAAGTAACTCCAAATAACTGTATTGTAGGTCCAAGCTGAAAAACTGAACAAGCAGCTTGAGGACCAGTACGTTGATGCCAATGCAAGGTTGGAGGAGAATGGCCGTGTCGCACAGGAACTAGGATCCCTGAAGACTCGCCTGACCGCAGAGAACAACGACCTGCAGCGCCAACTGGAGGAGTCAGAAGGGATTGCAAACCAGCTCAGCAGGTACAATTTGGAAGTGCGGGAGGTGTGGCATGCGATGGCCTTAATTCCACGAAAGATCTTGTCAGATCTTGTCTTGATAGAAATATTAAAGTAAATGTTTATCTTCCAACGTACAGAACCAAGAGCATGCTCACACAGCAGATGGAGGAGGTCAAGCGCCAGCTCGAGGAGGAGACCAAGGGCAAGAACGGCCTAGCCCACCAGCTGCGTGCTACTCAGTCCGACTGCGATGCTCTGCGTGAGTCCCTGGAGGAGGAGCAAGAGGCCAAGTCTGAGATTCAGCGTAATCTGGCCAAGGCTAACTCTGAGGTAGCGGCCTGGCGCTCCAAGTACGAGACCGACGCCATCCAGAGGACCGAGGAGTTGGAGGAGGCCAAGAAGAAGCTGGCCGCCCGTCTGCAAGACGCCGAGGAACAGGTTGAGTCCGCAAACGCCAAGTGTGCCAGCCTTGAGAAGACCAAGAACAGGTTGGCTGGTGAGGTGGAGGACCTGATGTTGGATGTGGAGAAGGCCAATACCCTGGCGTCTCAGCTGGAGAAGAAGCAGCGCCTGGTTGACAAGCAGACCGCCGAGTGGAGGCAGAAGTGCGAGACCCTTGGTGCCGAATTGGAGGCATCCCAGAAGGAGCACCGCGCCTACCAGACAGAGCTTCTGAAGCTGAAGAATGTCTACGACGAAGGCGTCGAGGCTCTTGATGCTCTTAAGAAGGAAAATAAGGCCTTGCAGGGTATGTACATGTAAAATGATTTTGTCCCATTGTCGGAGTAATATACGCCACTGCCTTAATACAGTACGGTTTATGTGTTAATGTGTGGTTTATGTAATCATTACTCTTTTTTGACAGAGGAAATCAACGACCTGAACGACCAGCTTGCGGAGACTGCAAAGAACGTTCACGAACTTGAGAAGACCAAGAAGCGTCTGGTCGTTGAAAAGGAGGAGCTTCAGAATGCCTTGGACGAGGCAGAGGGCGCTCTAGAGATTGAACAGGGCAAAGTAAGTAGGCAGCAAACCGTACTTAAAATCTATGTGTGTATGCATCTGGTCTGGACATGTTTTACCGACAAACAATTCACAACAACAAATGCTGCATATAGAGATGTATAGACGTTGAAGTACATTAGACAATACCTAGGACCACGAACTGATTTATCTTTTCCTCTCATAGGTTGTCAGAACTCAGCTTGAACTGGCTCAGCTGAAGGGTGATATCGAGAAAAAACTCGCCGAAAAAGACGAAGAGTTTGAAAGCTCACGGTGAGTAGTTTCCCAGATTCATGAAATGGGAGAAAAATAACCAGTCTAATCGTTGAAGAGATTCATTTGTCACGTACAGATACAGTTCCTAGTGAATTCTTTCATCAGTGACAACTTTGGAAGGATAAGGATACTAACCTCCAAATTTTCGATGGCTATCAGTTCATCTTGTTCACGGAGTGGCCTAATCTCGCGATAGCGCGAGACTAGGCCCGAGACTTGCATCGGTCAGACCTTTGGCATGGCGATGGGTTCTCTATTGTCCCCTGTGTTAGCGAACCTGTTCATGGAGGAGTTCGAGAGGAAAGCTCTACACACTGCTCCACACCGCCCCAAGTTCTGGGGGAGGTATGTAGACGACACCGGCGTTGTGAACAGACAGGAACATGAACAGGAACTATTCGATCACATCAACACGCAGCATGACAGTATCAAGTTCACTATTGAGAGGGAACAAGACAACCGTCTCCCCATGCTGGATGTCATGATGGTCAGGAATCCAGACAACACCATCACTACAGATGTGTTCAGAAAAGAAACCCACACCGACCACTATTTACAGTGGTCCTCCAACCACCCGGTGCAACAGAAGCTTGGGATAGTTGGGACTCTCATGCACAGAGCCAACACCCTTATTGAAGATCCCGCGTTGAGAGAGGCTGAAAAGGAAAAAGTCAGAGTAGCCCTCAGACACTGTGGATATCCAGAATGGGCCCTGAGGGAGGGGGAAAACAACTCCAGAAAGGACAAAAGTAGCAAGGCACAGAGTAAGACCGGAAAACAAGAGCAACTCCCAGCGAGTTACTTGGTTCTACCCTACATACATGGAGTTACAGAGAGGCTGAAACGTGTATATGCCAAACACAATGTGAGCCTGTACTCCAAACCGGGCTTCACCTTACGTAATGCCCTTGTGAGACCCAAGGACCCTCTAGCACCTGGTGAGAAGTGTGGTGTGATCTACAAGATCAAGTGTGAAGAGTGCGGAGAGGTTTACGTTGGTGAAACTGAGCGCGCGGTCACTGGGGGAAAGGACTTCTGAACACCAAAAGTCGTTACATCAGAAAGACTGCAAATCAGCGTTAAGTCAACACCAACTCCAGGCTGGCCACAACATCACTACCAGGCCCATCTCTGACATTATTGAAATCATAGACCAAGAGTCTCGTAACCCACATAGGAAGATTAAGGAAGCGGTGCACATACAGTTGGAAGGTGCCAAGCTAAACCGGACAGAAGGTTGGGAGCTCCCCAAGACTTACTTACCCTTACTTCGGAGGGAGGCAGCGGGGGGTGGGACCCGACAGACCGATGCAAGTCTCGGGCCTAGTCTCGCGCTATCGCGAGATTAGGCCACTCCGTGAACAAGATGGACTGATAGCCATCGAAAATTTGGAGGTTAGTATCCTTATCCTTCCAAAGTTGTCACTGATGAAAGAATTCACTAGGAACTCAACCAGTCTAATATTTTGGAATACGTATGCGACACGTATACAGATAGTGTCTTTCATCATACACTCTCTCCATTCTCAACTAATTAATGCGATTGATATCTTTAATATTCCAGCAAGAACCAGGCGCGCGCCATGGATAGCGTGCAGGCCTCTATCGAGATAGAGTCAAAACAGAAGGGAGAAGCGCAACGAGCTAAGAAGTTCCTGGAAGGCCATCTCAACGAAGTTGAGGTTCAGCTGGAGACCGCCAACAGGTCCAACGCTGAGGCCAGGAAGACCATTGCCAAGCTGCACTCCCAGATCCAGGAGATGCAGGTAACTCATCGTATTTGGTATGTATGTTGTCCTCTACAATATAAGTCGTTGTCAATGACCAATCGAACTATGTTGGGGGTGAATACAAAAACTAGGAAAAAGCTACAAGGCTCCATGTATCGGTGCATAACGGTGTGCCAGTACTTAAACACAACTGCAGGGTAAAGATTGGTATTTCAGGGTAAGGACATTAACTATAATTTTTTCGATACAGGTTACTATCGACGACGAGCAGAGGCAGCGTGATGAAATCCGTGAGCAGTACAACATGTCTGAGCGCAAGTGCCAGATGCTGGTGAGCGAGAGTGACGAGGTAGGTAGACGTTACCTTTGGAAGCTAGAATTCCTAAAGTTTACAACTCAACATTAAGAGCTATTTTTCTCCCCTTTCACATTCTAACGTTGTTTTTTTTAATTAATCGATATATTTTACTCAAAGGTCCGTGGGGCACTGGACAACGCCGAGAGAGCCCGTAAGGCCGCTGAATCTCAGCTGGTTGAGACCAACGAGAGGCTTGGCGAGCTGAGCACACAGAACTCAGCCCTGTCCGGACACAAGCGCAAGCTGGACGGCGACCTGTCGCAGATCCAGACCGAGCTGGAGGAGGTCATAAGTGACCACAAGAGCACCGAGGAGAGGGCTAAGAAGGCCATGGCTGATGTATGCATATTTTTTTCCATCAATTCAAAATAGAACAGTCTGAAACGATCGCAAACGAAAGTATCAATCTATATAGCTTTTTTTATTACCACAGGAGTAACTACGTCGCTATTTTCTTCACAATTAGACATCCCGCATGGCTGAGGATCTGCGTGTGGAGCAGGAGAACTCTCAGCACGCCGAGAAGGTGAAGCGCACCTTGGACGCCAACCTGAAGGATCTGCAGCGCCGCCTGGATGAGGCTGAGGCTATCGCACTCAAGGGAGGCAAGCGCGCCATCCAGAAGCAGGAGAACAGGGTAAGTCACGAGTCGCGTTAGTATCCGGTCTTTGAAGCAGGGGAAGAAAGGGGAGCCAGGATGAGTAACCCTGACTAATTGTTTGACATTTATAGCAGATTGGTTTGTTGGTAGAAATCTACAGGTCTACAACGACTAACTGTAACACCAATCCGACTTGGTTTTAACTATTAGATCCGCGACCTGGAGAACGAGATCTCCCACCACAGCCGTCTGCACCAGGAGGACCTGAAGCAGCTGCGTAAGAACGAGCGCCGCCTCAAGGAGATGACCTTCCAGGCCGACGAGGATCGCAAGAACCAGGAGCGCATCCAGGAGCTGGTCGAGAAGCTGCAGCTGAAGATCAAGACCTTCAAGCGCCAGGTGGAGGAGGCTGTAAGTATTCCCTTCTCAGCAACACTCTGACTGTTTCCTGAAGTTTCGACAATTCTGCTTATTTATTATAACGAATATCGTGGCAGTAGTTTGTGCGATACTAGGTAATGCCTTTTCTATATTTATCGTTTCACTTCACATTCCAACGATATCAAATTACTTTTTATTGGACACAGGAGGAGCAGGCTGCGTCCAACATGGCCAAGTACCGCAAGGCCCAGCACGAGTACGAGGACGCCCTGGAGCGCGCTGAAATTGCTGAGGGCTCCCTCAACAAGCTTCGCTCCAAGTCCCGCACTTAAACTGACAGCCACCCGTGAAACCGTTTCACTTTGTATCGTAGGCGCCTGATTACCTTATCCCGCTCTGTCTTTCGTTTCATCTGTTGGTAATTTCATCTCAATCCTGAAATAAAATGTAGTCCCACTAGAACTTTGTCTCTCGTCACTTATGTGAAGATGGATGAGTTTGAAGAATAGATTTCTGACATTGAGTTTGAAGAATAGATTTCTGACATTATGACTATACTATAGGTAAATAGTTTTACCTCTAACACAACTACGTCAAGGCAGAGAACATCAGCCATCAACTAGCTACAAGCGCATGTTTGTCAACACATTGAGATTTTAAGGAAACCGAACTTACAGACAAGAAGGTCCCGTAAAAAGTTGAAGAATACAATTGCGAACAATAGCAAAGGAGAGCCAGGAAAGCTATTCTACAACAGGGCAATGCAAATTTAAACAAGTATGTGAATCGAGGAAGAAATACAAATTAGAGCTGTTACCAAAAAGATCAACGACGATACAGGTCCATTGCCAAGCAAAATAAGACGACATTTCCAAAGTATTTCAGAAGTTTCAGACAGACATTAATTAGACAGCCATTATATATACCAATCAAAGTGTGAAAGTAAGAACGAACCAAACTCAACCATTAAAACTGGAGTACAAGAGAACTTAAAGTGAAGACGAGACTACAGTATGGGATTGATGAAGGTGAGATGGGATGGACCAAGCTGCAAGGTTCTAACAAAGAGAAGCGTGCTCGCGTCAACAAAATGAATGCAGGCCTAAAGGAAGGCACTTGAGGACATACATGTTCAGACAATGAACGAGATGACAAGAAAATGACAAGAATATTGCTGGACGTACCAACTCTGTCTTGCTCTCTCGTTGATCGATGATGCACTTGGGAACGATGAGCACACACTCCCCCATATGCACACTTCCTGCGTCTGTATTTCGTAGTTTGTGATACCTAAAATCAACACAGAAAAGACCAAGAAACAGTCAATATTGGTATCATCAGAGCAATCAACTTAGGATTAAGGTGCACACAATTAAAAACTTCTTACATATTGATCAGTATAGTGTAATCAACAGGCACCGTATGGGTATGAGGCTCCAATTGGAGTGAAAGGTGGAAATGTCTACGATGCACGTTTACTACTATCCAGATCCAAGCTTTCATCAGCTCATGGAGTAATACTAAGTACGAATAATACAATGACATGTAATACTAGACACTCACCTCCAAAACCCATATTGATAACGAAATAAAGATGGAGGAGATATATATCTGCGTTCTTTTTGTCGCAGGCGAGGGGAATAATCACAGTGGATAACAAATGCAATGTTTTTCTTCAAGGTTCCCAAAATAGGTACAAAATATGTCCGGATCGACATAAAGTAGTCACTGGATCTGGCGCTGACATTCTCTTAGGCCACACCAATTTATTTCCTTGGTTAACGGATTCGCCGCTTCGTTTTTTTGCCAAAATGAAATAAAAATAAAAACAGAACAAAAATCCATACTCTCGGGTCCCGAATTGGGGCCCCAAAATCCACCCCGTACGTTGTAATTTTTCAAAATTTGGGCATAGTTAACAGCGTTAAAAATACATTGCTTCAAGGCAGAAACATTTTTCTGAGTGCAATTTGTTCGGAAAGCTAGGTTGCCTCTTCAAAAGTTCGTCCAAAAAAATTCTTTTGATATAGAACTCGCCCCCCACCCCCTTTGCACATGTCACCATTCATGGGACAAAACTTCACTGACGACAGTCAAACGTACGGCAGATTTACTAAGTCTCATCGTGCCTGTAACAACATATCATCTCCCTTTTAGATATATATTATATTTCATTTAGAAACACGTATTGTGTCGGAAACATGTGCTAGTAACGGGCGTTAAAAGTAATCGGCCGAACGTTACTATAAACTCGGCCTGGGCGGCACATGCACACACACCTTCAAAACGATCTTTTTTCCAGGGAATATGTAAAAATAACACGACATAACAATGTATTCTGGCATCACAAACTGTGTTACTCTCAAAAAGTACAAAATCCTACCACAAACATGGGAATTTGGCAAAGTAAAAAGTCCTCCATGCACGTACATGTAAGTCCATTAACTTTCTCACGGTCGGAAGAGTCCACTTCGAGTAGGGGGAAACAGGTTCTTTTAATTATAGAAATTACTCTGTGAAAAATACTACATGTGCATGTGGCATTCTAGCAAAGTTACATCTTATTTAAATACCTATAAATAGGACTACAATTGCAAATAATGCATCAATTATTACATCTAAATTTTTTAATAAAATGGTTCCCCCTACAAATAAAAATCCCCATACATCAAAGACTTCATAGTGAAACCCTAGACCATTGAATTTGTGGCAACTTGAAGAGTGTGTCAATGTGGCTATTTGTTTGAATGATGGCTATGTATAATGTAGCTGTAGCATACCTAAAGTGTATAATGGGAAATATAAAATGTATACTACCGGTAGTATTTGGGAATTGGGGAAAGATAAAAAAAAAAGAAATAAAATATCTGTAAAAGTAGTTAATTCTTTTGCCAATAACTTTTAGACAATCCTGGAAATTTGTCTAAAGCATATATTTAGGATATTGTAAATTTCAAGCTCTAAATAACTTCCATATCATCCAGACACAATAGAATGCCCAGCCCAGTGGTAAGCTGTGTGCCCTGAACTAAGAAAACAATGGGATCTGAACAGAGCACCCTGATTTAAACCACTCTTTGGAACTTTGAAAGATTAATAAAAGTGAAAGATGGGAGTCTTGTCAACTGACAGTTTGTTGTTCATACAGTAAAGATGTGTATCTTGCAAAATAATACGAATAATTGTAAAGGGATGTAAGAGAAGTTGCTCATGTACATGTAGTAATGGTCCTTTCAGTTTAATAATTGTTCAATATAATGTCTTATATCATGTTGCAACTTAACTTAATGGATTGCTTATTACATGGCTGTATGGCAGGTGGTCTCAAATTTTTATTTTTATTTTTTTTTCGCCCGCCCGCTCCATTTTTTTTCTAGAAAAATCCGTTAACCAAGAAATTAAATTGGTGTGGCCTTAGGCATAGATCACTGTCAACGTCAGCACTATCTGACCTCAGTAAATCAAACCTCAAACTTACCGGTGCCTACTCAGCGTTTTTTTTACTGATACCACACGACTATATCTAGCCCTTTTTAGATTCTGAACAGGACAACGTACTTAGGTCTGTAAAAGCTAATATTGCAAGCATGTATTATTTTCAGGTTTAAAAACGTATGATACATGTAGTTTGCTTGTAAGCCTTATTATTCTACACAAATCGTACACAAGCATATATGTCTAGCATATTACTGCCATATTATATCGTCGAACCTGCACTTTTACTTTTCATACAAAGATACAGGCGAGAAAAGAGCTAAGACTTTGCATTGGATATTTTTTCAATCCATGTTTAGTTTCATCTATGTGTTAGAAGTGAGGCTACTAAAACATTTAGCTGTTATAATCTACTGAGGCGTAAGATGGAAAGCCCTATGCCTAACTAACACAAAAGTGCTATGTTTCAGTTGCTCATACGCCTCCTCTCAAAGTAATTTTCAAAAGTAATGTTGTCCATCCTCAATAATACATTTGCAACATCAGGGACTAAATCTAAGTTGACTAGGGAATCCACACTGACCTTGTCTATCCCACTTTGACGGCTGAACCATACGCACTCCGAAATCAACACATTCTGCTATGGTATAAACCCATAGAAAGGTTGGCGCTTGGTTACTATTGGTGGGTATTTTAGCTTAGGAACCACGTGCATTACATCACCTTAACCTTGACGACAACAGCAGCTGAGTCAAGCTCCGCATACTTGACAGCAGTTATATGGAGAACTGAGAAGTTATGCGTGACGG